GGTTTATCCTAGGTCACATTGCTCGACTTTTATTGGGTTATCCTAGGTCACATTGCTCGACTTTATTGGTTATCCTTGGTCACATTGCTCGACTTTTTTGGGTTATCCTAGGTCACATTGCTCGACTTTATTGGGTTTTCCTAGGTCACATTGCCCCGACTTTATTGGTTATCCTAGGTCACATTGTTCGACTTTATTGGTTAACCTAGGTCACATTGCTCGACTTTATTGGGGGTTTTCCTAGGTCACATTGCTCGACTTTATTGGTTATCCTAGGTCACATTGCTCGACTTTATTTGGGGTTATCCTAGGTCACATTACTCGACTTTATTGGTTATCCTAGGTCACATCGCTCGACTTTATTGGGTTATCCTAGGTCACATTGCTCGACTTTATTGGTTATCCTAGGTCACATTGCTTGACTTTATGGGTTATCCTAGGTCACATTGCTTTGCTTTATTGGGTTATCCTAGGTCACATTGCTCGACTTTATTTGGTTATCCTAGGCCAATTGCTTGGCATTATGGGTTATCCTAGGTCACATTGCTTTGCTTTATTGCATTATCCTAGGTCACATTGCTTGGCTTTATGGGTTATCCTAGGTCACATTGCTTGGCTTTATGGGTTATCCTAGGTCACATTGCTTGGCTTTATGGGTTATCCTAGGTCACATTGCTTGGCTTAATGGGTTATCCTAGGTCACATTGCTTGGCTTTATGGGTTATCCTAGGTCATATTGCTTGACTTTATGGGTTATCCTAGGTCACATTGCTTGACAGGATGGATAATGAGAACCTTCAAAACTAGGGAGGCCAAACCCATGATGACACTCTTCAGGTCACTTGTTCTATCTAGGCTGGAATATTGCTGCACACTAACAGCACCTTTCAAGGCAGGTGAAATTGCTGACCTAGAAAATGTACAGAGAACCTTCATGGCGCGCATAACGGAGATAAAACACCTCAATTATGGGGAAAGCTTGAAGTTCCTGAACCTGTAAATCCCTATAATGCAGGCGGGAGAGATACATGAAATTTTATACACTTGGAAAATCCTAGAGGGATTAGTGCCAAACTTGCACATGAAAATCACTCACTTTCGAAAGCAAAATACTCGGCAGACGGTGCAACATCCCCCAATGAAAAGCAGGGGTGTCACTACCCGATAAGGGACAACCCCAATAAGTGTGAGGGGCCCAAGATGTTCAACTGCCTCACAGCATACATAAGGGGGATTACCAATAGACCCTGCCTGTCTTCAAGCAGGCACTGGACAGGTACCTAAAGTCGGTACCTGGCAAGCCAGGCTGTGGGTCGTACGTTGGACTGCGTGCGGCTAGCAATAACAGCCTGGTTGGTCAGGCTCTGGTCCACCATGAGGCCTGGTCACAGGCCGGGCCGCGGGGGCGTTGACCCCCGAAACTCTTTCCAGGTATACCCAACCTAAAATAACGTAATGTAATTTTAACCTTACTCCACCAGGAATTACATCAAGTTTTATAACCTGCATGAACTGTATCACTGTAGGCAACAAGAGCATTTCACCCCTCCGTGGAAGATGTGTTCATTTAATATCACATACCTGCAAGTCCCTCCCAAGAAGTTCATTGCTAGTAATCCCTTCCTTAAATCTCTTGTTAGAGCAACTGCTCAAGAAGAAATTTCTCACCTAGCTGGTAGTAATAAGTTATCACAAGTTATATACACTGATGTATCTAAACAGGAGTCTTCTGGCAGGGCTGCATCTGCTCTTGTTGCCACCTCCCTAGTTAAGAACCATAATAAATTTGTTGAGTTAGGCATAAGAATTAACAACTGGGCGTCTACACTGCAAACTGAATTGTTTGCAATCCTAATGGCGCTAAAGCTAACCTATGACTGTATGACACTGAGCTTGACTCTATCATCATTACTGATTCTATGTCATCATTGAAGGCTCTTGACTCATATAATGACTCCAACAACATGCTCATTGGAGAAGCCAGGTATAGATACTCAAAAATTAGGGACAAAGGAATTAATGTACAATTGCTATGGATCCCATCACACATTGGATTACTCCTTCATGATAAAGTTGATATGTTAGCCAAGAAGAGTACCCAGAAGGAGAATGTAGAATATAACTTTGGTATAACTGTGTCTAGCATTAGGAATAATATTAGGAGAGAAGTAAATAATGAAAATGATTGTTATATGAATGCAGTTAGAAGCCTGAGCAGATCTGTAACCCACGTAGATAAGTATATTTATGGAGCAACTTGCAATGTGAACAGACTGACTGATGTTGTAGTGGGCAGACTTAGGCTTGGTTACAAGTACTTCTGGCAGTTTGGGAGACACACAGATAATGATCAAACTAAATGTAAATTATGTGATCAGGCATATGGTCACTCTTGAACACTATGTGCTTAATTATCCACTTATTGAGGAATACAGAGATAGACAATATAATAACCTATGTGACATGTCAAGATATCTTATTAATGAAAATAAGATACCAGATATACTAAGCAAATTTCCTAAATTTGCTTGTAACAGGTAAGTGAACTATAGATATGTAGATATAAATCCATATGTATTCCTGTTAACCCTTTGGGGCCTAGTTTCTAGGCCTTTTGTGTATCCATATGCTCTCGCGCTACCGTCCACAGGATGGATATGGGGTGCACAATGAACTAGCCACTTCGGTGGCAAAATCTAATCCACCAGGAATAGATACGGGATTGGTGCACCTTTGTTAACATTGGATTCGCCTTTGTTAACGTTTGCTGTGACTAGCTAGAAGCCTCAATACTAACTGTTGTTTTGCCCTGACATGTTGCATATCATAAAATAAATTTTTATTTTTGTTAATATCTCCCAGAATAATTCCACAAGAAATAATATGAGCCTGGGTATAGACAGTATTCTTAGTATTTAATTAAAAAAGAAATACGTTATTTCTGAAAAGTACCAGATGTCCGTATTAGTCATTAATTGGGGTTTCTTACGTTAAATCTACAATTTATTTTGTTGTGAACGTAAGTTTATTAAGGTACGGGTTCACAAGTACGATTATCATACAATACAATACAAGTTTTATTTCTTCGTAAGTTTACATTGAGATTCTGTTGGCCTAGAAAAATCCTAGAGGGACTAGTACCGAACTTGCACACGAAAATCACTCACTACGAAAGCAAAAGACTTGGCAGACGATGCAACATCCCCCCAATGAAAAGCAGGGGTGTCACAGCACGTTAAGAGACCATACAATAAGTGTCAGGGGCCCGAGACTGTTCAACTGCCTCCCAACATACATAAGGAGGATTACCAACAGACCCCTGGCAGTCTTCAAGCTGGCACTGGACAAGCACCTAAAGTCGGTTCCTGACCAGCCGGGCTGTGGCTCGTACGTTGGTTTGCGTGCAGCCAGCAGCAACAGCCTGGTTGATCAGGCTCTGATCCACCAGGAGGCCTGGTCACAGACCGGGCCGCGGGGGCGGTGACCCCCGGAACTCTCTCCAGGTAAACAATAATAAGTTGCAGTACAAAGAGCCACTATCATGCCACGGCATTATGACCAGTCTAAATTAATGGTTTATTGACTACTTAATACATGAGAAAATTGATCATAGTTAAAGTTGTATATCTGTTTTTATTTGAAGCAGACAGTAAGTTAACTCAAGTTGCAATTGGGACAATTTGAAGGTATTTTGTAGGTTGTGTATATCAGTAGTAAATATTTAAGTTATATTATTGGAATACAATATTGAGCTTTGGTGAAAGCAGTTTACAGTATGAGAATGATATATTATGGTGTAAGGCAGAATAGTTTGTGCAGGTATTTATACTACATTGTAGTAGTATTAAGTTATGTATGAACTTTGGGTATTTAAATTTTGAAGTGTTAAGATTTAGGTAATTGGGAAATCTTAATTTAAGTACTGAGTATTTAATATTTAGTTTAGGGTGAGAAGATGGATTTTGAGAAGAGACTTAAATTGTTGTTCAGATCAGACCGGGTTACTTTAATATTTATTACTAATGAGTTCCAAATTTTGGGAGGGTTTAGCGCTTAGTTTGGATTATAATAATGATACTAATTATACATAGTAACATACGTGTAAATTACATAGGATAGCCCACAAGAAAAAGTCAGACACAATGACTTACATTATTATTATTATTAAAGATTCACCGGTATTCTCCCGGCCCAGGCCTTTTCCAAGTGGTGGCCCGGCCTTGGCTCCCTCTTTAGGGAGTGTCTGAGACCTAAGTCTCCCATGGGAGGAGGCACAAGTACCTCCTCATCTTTGGGACAAACTGTCCCCAGGCCTAGCCACAAGCTAGGCCTCTCTGGTCTGCCATCCCCGCCCAAGGGGGGCTAATGGGAATGACAGTCTTATGAGCTAAAGGCTCGGGCTCAGGCACCTACCCTACCCTAGAAGGGTTAGGCATGGTGTCGATCAATGACTTACATCAATTATATCCTAAAGATACTGTATTATTATTATTATTATAATCAAGGGGAAGCGTTAAACCCGGAGGATTATACAGCGCCTGGGGGGGGGGATGTGGAAGGCATTCAGGCTTAATTCGGGGAACTGGAGCACAGATCCAATTTCCTAAATCAAGAGCCCCTCACCAACATCAAGGAACCTTCCTTGAGGGGAAAAGATACTGTAAAAAAAAAAAAAAATTCAAAGCCTAATTAAAAATATATAAATTCTTTATGATTTTCTGTCCCCTCAAGGAAGGTTCCTTGATGTTGGTGAGGGGCTCTTGATTTAGGGAATTAGATCTGTGCTCCAATTCCCCGAATTAAGCTGAATGACTTCCACATCCCCCCCCCCCCAGGCGCTGTATAATCCTCCGGGTTTAGCGCTTCCCCTTGATTATAATAATAATATGATTTTCTGTATGCTCACAAGCTGACTAAAAAAAAAGTGTATTACGAACACAGAGCTGAAATAAAGACTTAGTTAACCTTGTAAAACATATATACAGGATGTGAGTGCGCGTGTGTGAGATAATGGTAGTGGATCCCTGTGAGCAGTACAGTATTGTGATCAAGCTGGTGGAAGCACATACTGCCACTATAACTGCCCGTCTTGCTGAGTTACTCCCTAACTACACTTGAGTTACACTCTTGCCGAGTTTAAGGGGCATGACTAACATATTCCTCAAGATATGATGTCCTTCAAGATCTCAGAGAGAGCTGCAGGATCTGGTCCCGGAATGGTAGCTAAATTAAGGCCAGGCACTGCTGTTGCTTAGATTGATCATACCATTGTAAGTGTTGCACTTTAATAAGTATGCAATACAATCCGTGTGAGTGTTGTGTGTATGAGCGTGTCAGTGATGGTGTATGCAGTATGGACTAGTCAGTCTTAAGACCCCAGTGGAAATGACATTTTTGGGTGGGTTATCCTCGGTAATCTCCACATACACTGCTAGGTATGATAATTTATGCAACTATACTTATGTGTACCTGAATATAAACTTACAGTAATGATATATACTGAGATGTGTTGAACGGTTGCAGTTGACTGGTGCAATGCTTCATGCTTATTTACAGTGTCTTGTATATATGTGACAGGATATATATATATACCCTAACGGGTGTATTTCCCTCTACATATATATATATTACTGTATAGCCTTAACAATAAAAATTTTTTAATTTTTTGAATGGGGGGTTTTAAATTTTTATAAAATATTGTAAGCATAAAGAAACCCACTAACAAACATAAGATTTCAGGCAGGAAATGTAATGACCATCGTGTATACATAGGTTTAAAAACCCCCAAAATTTTAACCACCAACTTAAATAGGTCCTAAGTAAAAAAAAAGTAAATTTTATTTTTTTTAAAAATTTTCCAAACTTGTTATTGTCTTTGTGCCAACATAGTTAATTGTGAAAAAAAAAGATTATTTTTTTTTTTTAAAATATGACAACTTAACCCGGTTTTTTCTTAGATGTGTGTTAACCCCTAGATCAAACCCTAGGTATTCTTAGTTGGCTCCCCCTAACTTAGTATGCCCCCCATTTTGTTTGTGATTTGTTTATTTGTTTGTGTCATTGGGAGTTCTGCACTCATTTTGCATGATGGTTTTTAAGTCGGTTTTGGGAAAATTTTTTCTCTACATAAACAACAGCTTTTCAGTTATGTGGACTTAGATGGTTCCAGTGGGGCAAAGGTGGCTTTTTTTATGTAAAGTCTTTTTTGACTTAGAAAACCTTAAAAGTGGTAATTAAGTGTGACATAGTCAGTTGTTCTAGAGATTACTAGTCATGGTTCCTATGTTCCTCAGAGCTTTGTGTGAGCAAAGGTGGTTTAAGTTTTTGTTCAATGTTGGAGAGTTATGACACCGCTGCATATGCTTTGTTCACAGATTTGGAGAATCTGTCATCTGTGTTTTCACTTGATTCAGAACCAGAGACTCTTAAGCATATATGAATTTGAATATCAAAATGGTATACAATACCAACAGGTTGGTACGTAAACACATGGGCAACAGTTAGGCAACTTAATTCCAAAACGTTTCGCCTACACAGTAGGCTTCTTCAGTCGAGTACAGAGTAGTAGCCTACTGTGTAGGCAAAACGTGTCTTACCTACCATATATGAATTTATAATTTTTGTTTATTTATCACAAAGTGGTTGAATTAATTTTTGTATTCCTATTAAGTATACCTGTGACTGGTTTTGAGGGTTTTGAGGATTCTACCTTGTACCCTGGCTTCAGGTCAGACTTTTTTTGTTGCTTGCTGCCTGGTCAACCTGGCTGTTTGGTTAGTTTGTTGAAGGCCCACATATCCATCACTGCCTTGTTGATCAGGAATTTGCAGAAAATAGCAATCCATTTTCTTCGAAAAATTTCTGCCATCATTCTGGCTTTATTTCTGATTTTGTCTGGTAACAGGTTGGACGACTTCTGGGTCCTCTGGGTGTCCTCTAATTGTACTCATGGCACCTTGCCTTTCATTTGGTTTATTCTGTACTTCTTATATTTCTCACTCAAAAAAAAAAAATAATAAAAAGGCACAATAGTTTGATTTCAGTTTCGTAAAAGTCTTGATTTTGTGTTATTAATAAAACAGTTGGTAGCAGCCTCAGCTTGCATACTGAGGAACTGGGGTTTGAAGTGCAAAAAAAGGCATTGTACATAAGACACTTATGTACAGTTCAGGAACTGTACATGCCTTTTTCTACATCTTATTGGTATCACCATACCATTTTTCTGGGGGTTTGATCCCTGGCATACATAAGGGGATTACCAATAGACCCCTGGCTGTCTTCAAGAAGGCACTGGACAGGCACCTAAAGTCAATACCTGACCATCCAGGCTATGGTTCGTATGTCATGTTTACGTGTGGCCAGCAGTAACAGCTAGTTGATCAGATCCTGATCCACCACGAGGCCTGGTCTCAGACTGAGCCGCAGGGGCGTTGACCCCCCCCATACCAGGTATACTCCAGGTATGATGGGGAAATGTTAGCCATGTTTCCTTATACAGTGGACCCCCGACTTACGAACTTAATTCGTTCCAGAAGGCTGTTTGAGTGCCGTTACTGAACGAATTTGCTCCCATAAGGAATAATGTAAATTAGATTAGTCTGTTTCAGACCCCCAAGAATACACTTACAAAAGCACTTACAAAAATACACTTACATAATTGTTTGAGTTGGGAGCTGTTCGTAAGTTGGGGGTCCACTGTATCTGCTGTCTCTATTTCCCTTGCAATAAGTAGATATGTGGGCGTTAGCAGACTGTCATGGGTCGCATCCTGGGGGACAGGATTAAAGGACCCCAATGGCAATAAGACACAGTCCTTGATGATAACTTGACTTCATTAGGTTTTCCTGGGTTAACCCTCCAGGTTAATAATCCAAACACATTGACTGTTCATTTAGATGGTCTGAAAATAAACAGCCAGCTCTAGCATTGTCTTTACATATATTCACTACACAAGTAATAATGGATACTGCTGTCTGTTCACAAATTGGTTGCACAATTAGCCATTTTGCCAAGTGTATACTGTATACTACTGCTATAATTTCAAAAAACAATATACTCAGATCACAACATAATTGAGGTTCAGACATGTATGCGAGGAGCCCCAGACCGACAAAATGAGACTAGTCACGAGGGAGCATTCACCAAATTCAACTTCAATAACAAAAACATAAAGTGGGACCAAGTAAACCAAGTCCTAACCGATATAAGCTGGGAAGATATACTAAGCAACACAGACCCAAACTTATGCCTAGAACAGATTAACTCGGTGGCACTCGATGTATGCACAAGGCTTATTCCTCTAAGAAAAAGGAGGAGTAGATGTAAAATAGAAAGAGACAGGCGCTCCCCTTTACAGGCGACGGAAAAAAAATAAAGAGCGGCTAAAAGAGGTCAATATATCTGAATGCGCAGGGAGACACTGGTCAGAGAAATAGCAAGCATCGAACTTAAGCTAAAAGAATCCTTTAGGAGTCAGGAATCGCGGGAAGAACTAAAAGCTATAAATGAAATCGAAAGAAACCCAAAGTATTTCTTCTCCTATGCCAAATCAAAATCGAGAACAACGCCCAGTATTGGGCCCCTACTTAAACAAGATGGGTCCTACACAGATGACAGCAAGGAAATGAGTGAGCTACTCAAGTCCCAATATGACTCAGTTTTTAGCAAGCCACTAACCAGACTGAGAGTCGAAGATCAAAATGAATTTTTTATGAGAGAGCCACAAAATTTGATTAACACAAGCCTATCCGATGTTATCCTGACGCCAAATGACTTCGAACAGGCGATAAATGACATGCTCATGCACTCTGCCCCAGGGCCAGACTCATGGAACTCTGTGTTCATCAAGAACTGCAAGAAGCCCCTATCATGAGCCTTTTCCATCCTATGGAGAGGGAGCATGGACACGGGGGTCGTCCCTCAGTTACTAAAAATAACAGACATAGCCCCACTCCACAAAGGGGGCAGTAAAGCAACAGCAAAGAACTACAGACCAATAGCACTAACATCCCATATCATGAAAAATCTTTGAAAGGGTCCTAAGAAGCAAGATCACCACCCATCTAGAAACCCATCAGTTACACAACCCAGGGCAACATGGGTTTAGAACAGGTCGCTCCTGTCTGTCTCAACTACTGGATCACTACGACAAGGTCCTAAATGCACTAGAAGACAAAAAGAATGCAGATGTAATATATACAGACTTTGAAAAAGCCTTCGACAAGTGTGACCATGGCGTAATAGCGCACAAAATGCGCGCTAAAGGAATAACAGGAAAAGTCGGTCGATGGATCTATAATTTCCTCACTAACAGAACACAGAGAGTAGTCGTCAACAGAGTAAAGTCCGAGGCAGCTACGGTGAAAAGCTCTGTTCCACAAGGCACAGTACTAGCTCCCATCTTGTTCCTCATCCTCATATCCGACATAGACAAGGATGTCAGCCACAGCACCGTGTCTTCCTTTGCAGATGACACCCGAATCTGCATGACAGTGTCTTCCATTGCAGACACTGCAAGGCTCCAGGCGGACATCAACCAAATCTTTCAGTGGGCTGCAGAAAACAATATGAAGTTCAACGATGAGAAATTTCAATTACTCAGATATGGTAAACATGAGGAAATTAAATCTTCATCAGAGTACAAAACAAATTCTGGCCACAAAATAGAGCGAAACACCAACGTCAAAGACCTGGGAGTGATTATGTCGGAGGATCTCACCTCAAGGACCATAACACTGTATCAATCGCATCTGCTAGAAAAATGACAGGATGGATAATGAGAACCTTCAAAACTAGGGAGGCCAAGCCCATGACGACACTCTTCAGGTCACTTGTTCTATCTAGGCTGGAATATTGCTGCACTCTAACAGCACCTTTCAAGGCAGGTGAAATTGCCGACCTAGAAAATGTACAGAGAACTTTCACGGCGCGCATAACGGAGATAAAACACCTCAATTACTGGAGCGCTTGAGGTTTCTAAACCTGTATTCCCTGGAACGCAGGAGGGAGAGATACATGATTATATACACCTGGAAAATCCTAAAGGGACTAGTACCGAACTTGCACACGAAAATCACTCACTACGAAAGCAAAAGACTTGGCAGACGATGCACCATCCCCCCAATGAAAAGCAGGGGTGTCACTAGCACGTTAAGAGACCATACAATAAGTGTCAGGGGCCCGAGACTGTTCAACTGCCTCCCAGCACACATAAGGGGGATTACCAACAGACCCCTGGCAGTCTTCAAGCTGACACTGGACAAGCACCTAA